TATATATATAGAGAGAGAGAGAGAGAGAGAGAGAGAGAGAGAGAGAGAGGGAAAGAGAGAAAGAGAGAGAGAGAGGAGGGGAAAGAACGAGAGCAAGTTCGGAAAAAGTGCAAGAACCGCAAGTAGAAATCGGGCTTTTTATTCCAATCTCAGATAAGACGCTCTTTTTGAATCTAATCAAGGTCTGTGTTGCGTCTAATTAAGGGCTTCATTGCGTCTAATTAAGGCTTGAGTTGCATCTAATTAAGGTCTGTGTTGCGCCTAATCAAGGGCTGAAGAGTTCCCTTGCTGTCATTAGCGAACTGGTAACAATAGCAATAATTGATCAAAAAGCTAAGTGAGAACGAAGAGGGATAATCGTTGTTCATTGATGATAATAATAATAAATATTCAAATAACAATGTAAAAAAAGACGACAATAACTTGATGCTGTTAAATGTTATTGTGGTTATTACGAAGAAGAAATTTCAAGTCTGTGTGCGTTTGTGCGTGCGTATGCGTGTGTATTTGTGTACTCGTGCGTATTTTCATGTAGGTCCGTGCGGGCGTATGCGTGTGTACGTGAGTGTACGTGGGTGTGTGCACCTTCCCAACGTCTAATGTACCAGGTTCTTATTGCACCCCTCCACCCCCCCTTCCCCTTCTGCTAAAGTTCTCTGGCCGGGATGGGAGGGGGGGGGAGGGGATCTGTTATGTGTGCGTGTTCACTCATGTGCGCACACACGTACACACCCACACGCATATAAGGAAACTAGAATGCTAGTTTGGAAGGTTGATCAAGATATTGTGTAAAAAGGTAAATGCTGAAGAAACGTAAGAAAAAAAAAGAAAAGATATAAAAAAAATTGTTAGTGAACCAAACGTGTATGAATTTATCACTGGGTTGGCTCTCTTTTCCTCTTAATTAATCTCCCTCCCCTCTCTTTGATTCCCCCCTCTTTCTCTCCTCCCTCCCCTCTCTCTCTATCTGTCTGCCCCCCCCCCCCTTTCTCGTTAAATACCGGAACTTCACGTGCGTTTAATCATGATATTCTGTCGAGGCTGAATCCATGAATCCATCTTTTCCCGAGCTGTGGTCCGGAAACTTTAATTCTATCTTATTCTCCTTTCTCTCTATCATTATCATAATTATTAGTACTCTTTATCATTATTATTATTTCATTATTCATGATACGGACTATAAGCTTTTCTTTTCCTTTCTTTTGTATGTTGCTTCACTACTTCGGCAGCTCAGCTTTACCTATGCCAGTGTTGTTATTCATTTCATCTATCTGTTCATTACCTACTAATTCACCTTCGTGGCAACTGGGAGAGTATACTGCGGGTTGGAGAATCAGATTTGGGGGTTTTGCTAACTAACTGTTTTGCATCGACCTTCTCACTTCGCTCTCTCTTTCGTCTATTTTCGGAAGAGAATCGTAGCATAACTTTAAGTTGGGGATGAGTCTAGCGACTTTCCACTACATTTACGGTGGGTTTAGCTACTTTCTGCTATTTTGAAGATGGGTCTAGCGACTTTCAGCCACTCTGAGGATAGGTCTAGTGACTTTAACTACTTTTAGGGATGGGTCAAGCGAATTTCAGCTACTTAATCGTATGTTTTTTTCTGCTTCTTCTACCAGTGAAACCAGTGGCAGCTTCTATGCTAATTGCAGGGATGGTAATGATCTTAAGAAATGACAGATTTGCTTCGACTAACACTGGTAGAAACGGTGGCAATGATCGTTTTAATAATCATAATGATATTAATCGTCCTAATAATGAAGATAATAATGACAACAATGATAATAAAAATGACAACAGCAATAAAAATAGCACGAATATCAACAACAGCAAATATAACAAGACCAATACTAATAACGCAGAGCAAATAAAACAAAGACCATTTAAAAACAACGATATGAATTATAGAATGAAACCAATGCCATTGGCTGTGAGGAGAATATTCTCATTTCCACTCCCAACGGGCACCAGAGAAAGTGTAACAGGAACAGCATGCGTAATTAAAAGGCAAAGAATGACCTAAATCGTCCGTTTTCAGACCTTGTGACAAAACAGCGACAAACAAACGCACAAAGAAATAAACAACCGTAAAATGAGACTAATGACATTTTCTCTTTTTGTTAATTTCTAATTGGCTCAATTACTCTTCATTTGATTTGTCTTAGGGATGTTTTTCTTAATACTAATTTTGTCTCATTCCTCTCGAACGTAGATATTTCTTCTCATGAAAAATAATTGGACATTTCGAACTTCACTTGTGTCTCACAAGCACTTCTTTTCCTTTTATTTCATGCGTGTGTGTATGTCTACATGAATGTATATGTATATGTATACATACATATATATACTGTATACACACAAACACACAATATATATATACATATGTATGTATGTATGTGTGTGTGTTTGTGTGTGTGTTTGTGTGCGTGCGTGTATATGTGTTTACGTATATGTGTATGCACATTTTCCTTTTCCTCAAAGAGCATACATATAGGCA